ACACACACACACACACACACACACACACACACACACACACACACACACACACACACACAAAATAATTGTATGTGTGTGATCAGACTCTTTATGGAACCACTGTGGAGGATGCCTGGTGGCGAGAATGTGTCCGCTACGTCCAGAGCAGTATGGAGAACGCAGTTGGAGCGCTGTACGTGCGTGAGACGTTTGCTGGAGAAAGTAAACGAATGGTGAGTTGTTGTTTTTCTGGTCTTTATGGAGCACGTGCACCAGTTTCCACCACTTTAAAAGCTGAAATTCAAAAACGCAACACAAACTCCTGCACTTGGCTCCCAGATGTTTCACCCAATGAATCTGAAATCAGTTTCTTTGCTTCTTTAAATTCATTCCTCTTGGAAATTGGGAACACCAACAAGTGCTGAATCTATGATAGATTTCTGCTCAGGATATTTTTATGTTACTCTTTATGAAATGTTCACAGGTTAGTGACCTGATCAGTAAGATCCAGAAAGCTTATGTGGAAACACTGGAGGAGCTGAGTTGGATGGATGCACCCTCAAAGGAAAAAGCAAGGGAAAAGGTACAAAAGCCAGCGACAAAGCGGTTCAATCTCTAAACGTTTATGAGTATAATCACACTGATTACTATCTATTTAGGCGATGGCAATCAAGGAGCACATTGGCTATCCAGATCATATTCTGCAGGAAAGCAACCAAAAGTTAGATCAGGAATATGCACATGTAAGTAAAACCTGAGACATGTTTACAGGCTACGCTGTTTGAAATATTCAGCTTATTAAACACAGATCTTTTTTTTTCAGCTTAATTTCAGTAAGGAGCACTATTTCGARAACATCCTTGAAAACCTTAAGTCTGAAGCACATAAAAGTCTGAAGAAGCTCAGTGAGCCCGTGGATCCTGATTTGTAAGTATCAGGAACCTGAAAAATAAAACGGTCCGTGRTCATTGTGTTTTATTGGTGCTTTGAGCTGCAGTGTAAACACAAGCAACACCACTTCTGCTGTGTCATTAAAAGGGATGCAGTTGGCCAATGCTGATACTTTTATAGACACAAGTCTATACAGCACCAACTTTAAAATAAAAAGTTATAAAATGTCACTAACACATTTTCATTATTTAGTTCACTTTGAGTGTAAAACACCAGTTTAAAAAAATCAATTAACATTTTCTTGTTATTTAGCTCATTGTTCTTAAATTTTGCTAATATTTATTAAATGTTAAATTTAAATGTTACATATAAATATTAAGTAGTAAATGTAAAGGTGCAAATCTAAATTTTCATTTAAGATGTTTGTAATGGAATGCAGCCTTTGCCATTGGTGCACCGCTTTTATTGTGATGTCATCATCCTGCGACTAAAGCTGCTGCTGAAGGGAGAAGGGTTTACTGCTAACTGCAGCTAGGTATTATTGGCTGAAGGTGGCATTTAAAATTTAAATTCAAAATGTGTTCATTGAAAACAATATGGCTGGTACCTGTGTTCTGGCAGTTTGAAGTGCAGCTCGGTTAGCGGTGTTAGCGGTTGCTTTTGTCGTTGGATGATGTCATAAGAACAAAAGCCGAGCAGCAACTGCAAAGGCTGTAAATGTGAGCTTTATTATTTAGTTGCAATATTTAACATTTAAATTTAACATTTAGATTTAGATTTATGAATTAACATCCACACGAGGTTCCCACGCCCCAAAACTATATACCAAATAAAAGGTAAGGTGATTGACTATACAGCTGTGGAGTGAGAATGAAGCTCAGAGCTGATTGGCTGATTTTACAGTCACTCTACAATATGTGCTCTGGATGTGACATGAGGAGCTTTGTCACACATTTTTGGACTCTGCAGAGCCAATAGATTAACTCAGTTGGTCAAATGAGGTGTCAATCAAAAGAGCGGGGTCTAGACAACTATTTTAACATCCTGGTGTTTAAATATGTTACCATAGTAATTGTGCAGGACACTTTAAAGGGATCCCTGATTAGTTGTAACATTAGACTTTATTTGATTAACATATATTTTAACTGTAAAATAAAGACTGTAAAAATACCGTAGGCTGTTTAGTTTTTTTAATTTTTAAAAATATATTTTAACATGGACGGAGCCATTTTATTTCCACACAAAGCATTCTGGGTAAATGATGACGTGGATAGGTCCTCGGTGTGAACAAGCTATATCCACCCCGAAGGTTGATCTTGGACAATATCTGATGATCGACTCTTTTAAATGAAACCAGAGAGCGTTGACAGAGAGGAGAAGGTAGAAATGACTCAGCCTGKAACTGAAAATATRGATGGAGGACAACAGAGCTGCTTCATGGAAGAAGAACCTCAGCTTAGCCTGTTAGCCTTTGTGCTAGCGCCGACGCTATATTGCATTTTATGTACTAGCTCAGCACTAGCTAATGTATTTTTAAACCTTTAGTTTAAAAATGATAAAAACTGAACATCCTACAGTATTTTTACAGTCTTTATTTTACAGTTGAAATATATGTTTGTTAAATAMAGTTGAATGTTACAACAAATCATGGATCCCTTTAAAGTGAAACTAAAGTAAATACAGAACGCGGGCATTCTTTTGCCCTTTAACAGGTTTAACACGTGAATAAATTGGGATGAGGCGCCAGATTCCTGCAGCCCCTCACAGGATAGATGCTGAAGATGAATTAATTGGTGTGATCAATCTTGCTACTTCAATTATTTTCAATGTTTTGTTTAAAAAAACGATTTGTGCATGAATTTCATTCTCCTGTGAAAATGGACAGCAGTGTTTATATTTTAAATCCTGATCGAACCTGTTTTCAGGTGGATAATCGGTGCTGCTGTGGTAAATGCGTTCTACTCACCAAACAGAAACCAGATAGGTAAGAGTTTCAGAAAAATCGATGGGGCTGCCGGCGGCCTCATTGAAAAAGTCTAGATGTTTTGGGCGGTGAGGGTCACTCCTGATTACATTTCTGCTGAGCACTGCCACTTCTCATTGAGCTTTCACTCCTTCCTCGTTTGGCCGTGCAGTGTTTCCTGCAGGAATCCTGCAGCCGCCCTTCTTCAGTAAACATCAACACCAGGCCCTTAACTTTGGAGGAATAGGAATGGTTATTGGACATGAGATCACACATGGATTCGATGACAATGGTGAGACAGCGGTGATTCATCTCTGGTGTTTTTGGAAAACTAAACTGATAAATGCAGATAAATACAGAGGCTATTTCATTTAAATCTGTTCCTACTAATTCTCAGACGCAACATGTTTGGAAAACAGCACTTTACTCAGTGGGTAATGTCTTCCTGCAGGGCGTAATTTTGACAAGGATGGTAATATGCTAAACTGGTGGAGTAATTACTCAGCTGAGCACTTTAAAGACCAGTCACAGTGCATGGTGCAACAATACGGCAACTTTAACTGGAAACTGGCAGGCGGACAGAACGTAAGTGCCTGTTAGTGGTGTGTTTTTGTTTTTACTCTAATATCTCGCATTAAAAAAACCCCACTGTTGTCATGCTGGGGTTTGTTTGCTGTGTGCAGGTCAGCGGGATCAGTACTTTGGGAGAAAACATAGCAGACAATGGAGGGGTCCGTCAAGCATATAAAGTAAGATTTATTCCGCACTAACTAATAATTAACTCCAAAATCCTCATACTAAATTTTCTGCAAATATAGTTTTTATGAAGTAAAGCTGTGCTTACAGGCTTACCTGAACGGGTTGGAAATGGAGGGAGAAGAACCTCGTCTGCCTGGGCTGGATATGGATCACAAACAACTTTTTTTTCTTAACTTTGCCCAAGTAAGGGAGAGAAGAAAATGTTATTTCTGAATGTTATTTTTCAGCAGTTTATTATTATTATTATTATTATTATTATTATTATTATTTATTTATTTATTTTTTAACTGGAGGAGCCTTTAAAGTTGAATCTTTATTGATGTAAACATTTTTTTGCCTAGGTGTGGTGTGGTGCTTATCGGCCTGAGTATGCCAGCCAGTCCATTAAGACCGACTCTCACAGTCCTTTAGAATACAGGTGAGATACTTAAATGCCGAACAGGTAATCAAACGTCTGTTCAGTGGATCCTCGTCACTTTTAAAAGTTGTTTAATTTCTTAAATGGAAATTAATGTTTCAGCCAAATAAAAAAAAACATATGTGGAGAAGAGCCACTCAATCACTCATCAATCAGTAAATAAAATTAAGTTCTATAGACCATTTAGAAACAACTCTTTTTGACTAAAATGCTGTACTAAAGCCAGAAAATTAAACATGAACTAAATTACAATAAAATCCACATCAAATAAAATAAATTTATTGAATAAAACTTGAACAGAAAAATCACAATGTTCTGATTAGAACTAGAGACAGTGAAAACAAATGAATTACCAACAAAGACTTCATACCACCAATGAGCTAAGCCACTCTTACTTTGAAAGGAAGACTGTTCCACAGAGAAGGAAAAGGTTTCTGCAACCTCTAGTTTGGACAGTCGGTAACTTTTTATTTATTTATTTGAGTTGAGATCATATTACATTGACTTAGAAAAATAAAAAAATACTTGCTATTGTCTTCTGGTAAAAAAAGGGTGGGAGTACAGAGTATATTGTTTAGAAACACGTTTCATGGGGATAAACTATAGGGCAAAGCCTGAACATATATGGTGCCTTGCTTCTCTAAATGGGTTAGTTTAGTCAAAAGCGTGATTTTATACCAAGTACATGTCCCACCACAGCTCAGTTTGCCTTTCTAATTGAGAATTGGAAAGCTGAACACATCTTAGGAGCTCCTTTAACATGTTGCACAAACTTCAGTTTGCATTGTCTTCAGTGGTTTAATTTTTTTTCCCTTCTTGTCCTCAGGGTGCTCGGATCACTCCAGAATTTCGAAGCGTTCTCCGAGGCCTTTCAGTGCCCAAAAGGAAGCCCGATGAACCCCGAGCAGAAGTGCCGCGTCTGGTAGAGCTTCTACTGTATTTTAATCAACACGGGCGACTCACATCTAAAGGAAAATGTCAACTTTTGTGACATCTTTCTGTCAAACTAGTCCAGTTTATTTGGTGCGGAGTGATGACACAAACTTTCACATGAAATGCGCATGAAACCTGGAGGATATCCTTAAATGTCCTCTTAAACTTTACGTGTTGTCTCCAAATGAGGTGGTCATGAGTTCTTTTTCTGGTGCCACGACAAATAAGTGGGCAAACGAATGAAAAGACTGTGTAGAAGAAAAAAATATCTTGTGGGAATGTTAAACTTGGCTTTAAGTGTGTTTCCAGCCTTTGATTCACTAACTAAAAAAAAAACTTTTTCATGTTTTTCTGATTTATCTGGTAACATTTGGCACGGAGCAGCTTTGCTGGGTTTGATATATTTTTAAGACACTGAACCAGTTCAGAAGGAAAACTAGAGCCACAAATCGAACTCTTAGGAATAATAAATGAAAGTGGTTCTGCTGAAGTAAGGCTACACTGAATTAGTCACACTCTGAGAGTTTGATTACTGTTATGTAAAATTAAATTACCTGAAGACTTTAAGACTGTTAAATCGGTCGCAGCTTTAAGCTTAAATTGACATTCATGAGGAGCTGTGGCTTTCCATATTTACACACTAACAGACATATAACATATTCAACATTTACAAAGTCAGGTAGAGCTTTTTGTTCCCCCTTTTTTTGGAGGCAAATAGAAACCGCACTCTTACTGCAGAAAGCTGTGTTCACAATAATTCACTTGTTTAATGGGGTGACAGTCTGCAACTCTAACCAACAACTCCTTGAAGCAAAATGAGTTTTTGCTGATAACTGGATAATTTCTCCTAGTTTTAACCCATGTTTGAAGCCTGCTGTTTCACTCATGTTATATTCAAAATGACTTACATTCTTATAAGATGTCTGCATAGGTTTAAACTCCCAAACACCCTTTTTTTCCCTTTACCCATATGATCTCGTATGGGAGTATACAAGACTCCAGCAGCTAGACTTTTAGTGTCTGCCAATTACATGCAAAAAAAGGTAAAGAAAGCGCCTTCGATCCACTCAGAAAGGCAGCAGATGAAGTGTTTTGCCTTCTGATCTTGCCTTGATCAGTGTTCTGTGAGATGAAAGGACGGGCGAGGCGAGCTGAAGTGAGCTGACCGCCGCAGTCAATCCAYGAACCCTCGGGCAGATAAAAAAACACCAACGATTGTTGCCGTTAACGAGGTGGGCCGGGGCCAGGACTGTTATTTTCCAACCTTTATTAACCGGTAACGACGGGAGAATCAAAGCAGCGCACACATCAGAGGAGACAGCGGCAGACAAACACAAACACAAACAACAGACAGCTGATTTGAATATTTACGGTGGCTTGTTAAATTCTAGGATGCCTTGGTATACTGAACACGACTGTTAGGTCTCAACAGAGGCTGCTTCACTGAATGTGCACACTGACGCTTTWTAGTTCGTCTTTCAGTCTTCACCTGTTGGCAAATACTGTTGTGACACACGTGATGGGATGGACGGTTTTCACCGTAGTTTAGGAGCTGATATTGTGCTGCAATCATAACCTAAATGGTTGACATTYGGGAAATATCTGAAACTTTTAAAAGACGTGCATGAAACTGTTAACTGGATGGATGCTTGTGCTTTAAATTMAGTAACAACCAGATGTTTTCAATGCCAAGAAATGAACTGGGTACGATAACTACCAAAGGATGAACATTTATTGGTGGTAGAAGGTGATTTTTTTGTGTGTGTGTGTGTGTGTGTATCTAAACTTTGCACAAAACGTACGGAGATTTGTGTTTGGTAGATTATTTCTTTGTTGTAACAAATCTTATAGCAGCATCTGATGGGCAGCAGAAGCTCAAAACAAGAATCAATAGAAACAGCAAAATAAACTGTTGTGGTGAATTTTTCATGAACCCACATACTCAGCTCTACTGCTCATCCCACAAATGCATGTTCCTTACAAATGTGGCTCCATTTAAAAGGAAAGTTAACAGGCTGTCCAACAATATAAGATTTATTGATTGTTACGACAAAGAAATGATCTACCAAACATGACTTTCCTTGTGTGCTAAGTATATTTCTTTTCTGAAAAAAATAAAATAAAATTGTAGTTTAGTTTCGAGTTCTCGCCTCACATTCAGGATTTTGGTGCACAGATGTGGAAGCCTGCTGCAGGGTTCATTTACTGCCAGCTAATGTTCATTCGCTCCATCGGTTCAAACAAATGCATTTGTTAAGTAAATTTGAATCAAACTTTTGTCAAATCAAACATGTTTATTCGACGGCTGGTAGTAGTTCACATCACTCATGTTGGTAAACCAAAAGAACAAAATGTGTTTTAAATGTTTCGCAAACTAGGAAAGAAGACAAACTGTTTTCTGGACTGAATAAATTTTAGGACAAAAATAGTGAGAAGACATCAGATTTTATTTTACACTGCAAAAACTGTCCATCTAACCAAGTCTTACAGTTGTATATACAATCAAAAAGTATATTTAATCTGGTTTTGAGATTGATACACTAAGCAACAGTAGAATGTGTTAGATTATTAATCTTGTTAATCTGGAAATGTTTCCTTATTTCAGGAAGACTTACCAAGTGCAATATTCTTACTGCACTGGCAATTTATTTCTCTTAATTTRAGAAGATTCCTACTAAAATCTAGTGTCTAACTTAATTTTAGATGGCTAACTTTTGCAGTGTACCATATATAAAATATTATTTTCTTTACAACAGTAAAAAAAAAAAAACATTTCAAGCTAATGCTATGTCAAGTAAAAGCATCCTTTAAATAAATGAATTGATTCCCTGGAAGCAGAGATTAATATCTCTCCAAGATGTCAAACTGTTTATTCATATKAAAATGCAAACTTATGACTGGAGCAAAATCCAGCTGGAGGCTAAAATCTGACTCAACATTTTTCTGGAGGGACTGTTGTTAAAGTTAGACTCCTGTACAGTTTTCCTGTAAACCAGTGTAAACCAGTGCAACAGCTGTTTACTGAACACAAAGTTTAGACAAAATAAAGTGTTATTGTTGACTGTGCAGAAAATCTGGTACAAAAAAATAACATGTAGGACAGTCTTTTACCTTAGATTTTAATTCACATTTACTTAAATTGTGAAACTGTATTGTTTTGGAAGTTACTTACAAAGTACAAATGCTTTTTTTGGCTATTTATTCTATGAACATGTTTCATCTGTATACACATCAGAGGAGTTTATTTATTTAAAGAAATATTTATCAAGTAAAACTGTTGCTTTGCRAGAATTCAGATGTTTCTATGAATGTTGCTGCTGCTATGTAATTAGACGGCTATTTTTGTGACTCAGATCTGTAATTATTGCTCTTAAAGTGACTGTCTCAAATGGTGTGATCTCAAGACCCTGCTTTAAATGTGTTATCTTTATTTTATACAATCAAAATAAACTTCACATATGAACAAAATGATGCCAAATGATCATGTGTGATTGCATTATTTTACTTGTTTAATTGTTTTCTTTTAGGCTTAWAATTAGATTTAGTCTTAAACCATTTTTAGTTTTAGATACCTGTCATTTGGGCTTTAATAATCATTGACATTTTGAATGCAAGTTTAATGTTTTTTAAGTACCATTAGGCTTTATTAAACATGATATAGGTTTAGTTTTCTGGGTAGAAAGTGGGTAATTAAAGTGAATACACAAGTGTAATAAAGCAAATGTCTTTGTTTATTTATTACTTACAATTGAAGCAAAGAACTCATTTTAATTTAAAATACTTCACAGACAAATGGAAAAACAGTCATAAGCTTTTTGCCTTTAAAATGTACAAAAAATAAATTGTGATCAATGTAATCAATTGAATTACCTTTAAATTAAAATGAAAACAAATACCAATTGTTATTAGTATTAACAAAAAAAATGCAGAGTATTTGTAATATAAAACAGCTGCATGAATCCTGAGCTTTTGTAAAAAGAATTACAAAAAAATCAACTGTACATCACAAAAAAGGCATTTATGATATTAGAATCTTACCAGTGATTATTTCTTCTTTAAACAATTTTATTATATTTCCCCCTTTTTTATTATCTCAGGCACAGTTTAGATATAACCAAAACGTTCTTCATCAGCGCGTACAAACTTCATCATTGCACTGCAAGAGATGAAACAAAAAGTCAAATGAATACATAAGATTTTTAAAATTAGATTTTTTTTTGCAGGATAACTTAAGTATGATTTTATTATTTATTATGAAGTTAATTTCCTCAGCATTAAGTCTAATAGAATTGTAGTTTTTTTACTTCTGGACGCAGAAAAGGAGCTTCTAAAAAGGAGTAAACTGTATCTTTACTCCTGAAAAGTAACGTGGATTTTTGATGGCTCAGCCTTCATCATCATCATCATCATCATCATCATCATCATCATCATCATCATTCTGTTAACAAATCTGTTTTGTCTGATCCTCCTCACCAAACTCAACTGCACTTTTTTCTTTTTCTTTTTTTTCCCCCCTGACGCATTATGATCCGTCTGAGAAAACAAGGTCTATTCTGTCTGCGGGCGTCGGATACAACGGCTCTGACATGACGGCTCTTCAGGGAAACCAGCACCGGGCCGCGTGYTGGATATGAGGAGCACATCAAAGGGCTAGGTGATCACGGGACAAAGTTTAAAAAGCTCCAGACTTCAGATATGAAGTCAGTGATCGATGAGCGATTCGTCTTTGTACGAGTGCGAATGGGACGCAGAACAGGAGTTAAACTTTCACATGCAAATTATATTCCGCGGCGCGTCGGGCACTGAAGTCATTATGTTTCTCATTTGAGTTTTATGACAGTCATGTTAGGCCTGATATAAAAATATAATGGTTCCCATTTTCATAAAATATTTTCTAATAAATCTCAGCAGGCCCGAGCAGCACAAGAGGTGTTCTTAACCCTTTAAAATTGGACATTTGGAGAACATTCCTACCCTTGTTCTTGAGTAAATGCAGACTAATAATACAGCTGATTAGTTTTATCTTAGAGCACAGATTAAAGCCTGCTCTGTTCAAACACAGTCACCTTATCTGAGCAAAATTTATTTTATGTTTTGACTGTATTCAATGTTGCTGTGGTTATAAACTAATATCTTACCTGTTGCAGATAGCTCTATGAACACATACATAACAGTGTGTGTGAGAAGATATTTTATAAAAGTTGTTTAAAGGGATCCATGATTAGTTGTAACATTAGACTTTATTTGATAAACATACATTTCAACTGTAAAATACTGTAAAAATGCTGTAGGCTGTTTAGTTTTGTAAATTTTGAAAAATATATTTCAACACGGACGGAGCCATTTTATTTACACACAAAGCATTCTGGGTAAATGATGACGTGGATAGGTCCTCTGTGTGAGGCTGCTAGCGAGCTATATCCACCCTGAAGGTTAATCTTGGACAATATCTGATGATCGACTCTTTTAAATGAAACCAGAGAGCGTTGACAGAGAGGAGAAGGTAGAAATGACTCAGCCTGTAACTGAAAATATGGATGGAGGACAACAGAGCTGCTTCATGGAAGAAGAACCTCAGCTTAGCCTGTTAGCCTTTACGTTAGCGCCAAAGCTATATTGCCTTATATGTATTAGCTCGGCACTAGTGCTACAAACTAACAAGCTAAACTGAGGTCCTCCATCTATATTTTCAGTTACAGGCTGAGTCATTTCTAMCTTCTCCTCTCTGTCAACGCTCTCTGGTTTCATTTAAAAGAGTCGATCATCAGATATTGTCCAAGATTAACCTTCAGGGTGGATATAGCTCCCTAGCAGCCTCGCACCGAGGACCTATCCATGTCATCATTTACCCAGAATGCTTTGCGTGTAAATAAAATGTCTCAGTCCGTGTAATATATTTTTAAACTTTTAGTTTAAAAATGATAAAAAACTAAAGAAGCCTACAGTGTTTTTTACAGTCTTTATTTTACAGTTAAAATATATGTTTTTTAAATAAAGTCTAATGTTACAACTAATCAGGGATCACTCTACCACAGCTAGTTTTCTGCTGGGGAATAAATGTGTACAATAACTTCTCTTGTTCTCAAACACAGAGTTTATCAGTGGAGTTTAAAAGGTGCCCAGACCCTTTGATACAGATGCTGACAGACCATGAAGATGGTTAATAGGTGTGAAATTGTCTGTGAAGACGCTGCTCTGGTGCACGAGTGTCTACTGACGTAAAACGGAGTCCGTTTGAAGAGAAACAAAGAGAAGCTCAGTGCAATGTGCCTTAACACAAACACAAAATGATGCATTTGACCTCTAGTCTGTTAACCGTGCTACTTAAAGTCGTTCCGTATAAGMTAATATGAGGACATGTACAGGAGGTCTTACCACCGGCTTCTGTCCTGCTTTCACCGTGGCTGAGATGCCGAGGGCTTTGGCAATGTCCTCTAGAGGTACAAAATCTCCTGGGGAGTCTTGGACGAAGTGCAGCAACACCTTTTCGCCACCTTCATGGGAAAAAAAGAGACACTATTTTAACAGATTAGAACTTTGTATCTTTCAGTTTGAATGAAGTGACAAGAAAAATAAGTCAGTTGTTTTGTTTAAAATCTATGATTTCTTTAAATGAATTTTTGTTTATTATTAGTGGGTTTAGCAGTTTTTTTACGAGCATGTACAAATAAATAATTACATACAAATCAGGAAAATGATGTTTAATGTTATTCAACTGCTATGTTACGGTAATAAAAATAAACATTTCTGGGTAAACCCTCAGTGAAAAGTTGGGTGAACAGACTGCAAAAATGACTTTTGACGAAACAATGACTGAAAAAAAGAGGAGACACACTAAACCGAATGAGATTTTACTCCTCCACCCTCACAAAAGCAAAATAAAATATAGTTTCGGCACATTAACTCAAGTAACTCCTTGAAGTTTAAACACAAGAAAGACAGTCAGAAGCCCTGGTGAGCTCTAACAGTAAATGAGAGTGATTTTAAAAGATTATATCACAATTCAACAACGTGATGCAGCACTGCCCTCTAGTGGACACATCGGTTATAAGTGTCTTTTTCTGGACCGTGTTCAACCTGGAGAATTTTCCTGAATCTTTGTCCAACTTCAACATAAATAAAATCACCAAATACATMATTTTATTTATTTTAAACTATTTCTATGCGTTTACTCATATTCATAAGACTGCACCTCACTTTTGAGGTGATTTTACCTTTTGCCACGATGAGCAACCCTCCACTCTGGAGCAGATCACCTGAGAAGTTGCCCTGAATTCCTGCAGTGCTCGCCTGAAAGCAGCAGAGATGACACAATGAATGTATCGATCTGTGCGCTTGTGTAATTTACAGAGACGAGTTACATAAGCTGATGTGTGCTACATAAGTCTCGAATGTGAGAACTACGAACGTTTCTACCTGAGAAGCTACATCTCGTACTTTCTTCCCCAAAGCAGCAGGAATCACGCTCAAAGCTGTGTACCTGAGAGAAAAAAATACATTTAGTTTTTTTTTTATTTAAGACCATCAAAAAGCAACACAAGCTTTTAGAAATTTATTCCAGCCTATAGACTATTATTTAAACTGCTGAGGCTCTAAATAAACTCACTGAAATGTTAAAATATTCAAATTAAACTATAATAAAAATGTCACTGTTCTGTGTTGAACAATGTAAACTTTAATGTGCTCACCTTTTAAAACCCAAATCCTTGTAACACTTCTTTTGTTCGTCGACATAAATGGCTGTAAAAAGAGACTAAATTTACACAACAGGATGGCTGTGACAGATTTAATGAGCTTGTTTCAATCTTTGTGGTTAATCAGCAATACTTTTGTTACAAAACAGTGCATCAGGGCAACAATAGCGGCTTGCAGGCAAAAGTGGAAGTTATAAAATATGTTGATTATTGTCTTTTTCAGAGCAGAGATTTAAGTGTTGATCTTTCACCGTATTACGTATACATCTTCAGAACAAACAGGTTTCATGAGTAAATTAAAGCATCATATTTGCATTAGTTAAGCTAAAAGTTGCTCACATCCTTTAAAAAACCCTCCTTCTTTAAACTGCTGCAGCCCGAGCTCCTCTGGTCCGACTCCCACCAGCGAGACCCCGTTGGCCCTGAGGTCCGGCTCCAGTTTGCTGATCTCTGAAGCCATCCATCGACACACCTGGCAGCCAAACCTGCGCAGGAAGAACAGCACCACAGGCTGGTCCTGCCACAGAGACTGGAGCTCTACTTTCTGCAAGACAGGGAGCAAAATATATATATA